CATGTACTGTTTTGGAGGTAAAAACGTGAAAAGGTGGCTCATTATGTAATAGGTGACTCCTAAGTATTTACTCAAGTGCCTGAATAATATTTTGTCATCAGGCATACTGGCATATCAGCAACACTTGATAGAATATTCAATAAATGATGAATGAAAACCAGTCTTAAGGGAGCGGATGCCAACTCTTAAAAAAGGCAATTTAGTAAATATTCTAGGATGAAAGATGTGTATTTCCTAGCAACAATGGCTTAATCTGTGCTTGGAACATAAATATACATAAAATGCACACACACTGAAGATAGATGCTTGAAGCAATGCTGGACTCTTCATGCTTAATTTCCAAATGCTATCTACTTTCTGCCCATTCTTTGGCGGCACAGACCAAAGCCGACTTTTCTTGTCCTACTCTCCCCTGTCTTTTGTGGTACCTTCTGCCTTCTGTGCACCTCAGCTGCACAGGGTCTGCCATGAATCCTCATGTGTATAAGCTGATTCTTTCCACCACATTTTTCAGGGGTTTAGGAGCCTTTTGTCTCCATGGGCACCAGCAGAGTGCTCTACATATTATGAATGCTCAGTATTTGTTGGAAGCATGCCTCTAAGCAGACAGCTTACATCCCTTGTACCATGCAAATATCAATAACAGAGTAGGAATCATTAAGGTAAGACCCTGGGGAGCAGACAGCTTTGCTCTATGTGGAGCAAAGCTCTCTATGATAATGTAGACGGTCATGCCACAGAATCAGTCTTTGTACCTAAGAAACTGAAAACATGTGCTGTGCTGTCGAGTTTCCCTTCTCTGGCGTAGTTTGCAAAGATCACTGAAGGATAAGGGCTGTGCTTACTTTCTTTATTTATGTGCTGTAATCCACAGTACAGAGGCAAAACGCTTACAATATCAGACCATGAAAGCCAAAATAATAGCACGGGCCTGGGGGTGGAAATCATCCTCTCCAAGGGAGCCCGGTCTTTGAGTGCTTAGACGCCCGTAAGAAAACCGTACTGCTTCTCTTCTCTAAGAAAAACAAGACATGTACTTGGATATGTACTTTTGAAAAGAGTAGCATTCATTTAGGTATGCTCTACCTCTTATGAATTGGGCCCTACTGCTGTTCATTTCTTCCTCTAAGATGGCTTGAACTTTTCAAGTTCATGACAGTCTCATGTACAGCGTGACCCAGAGGTTGGACTCCCCCCAACCTGAACGGTAGAGTACTTCAAGCATCTAATTTGGGACACAACCAAGTGGCAACCCTTCCATACCCACATTAACCAAGGAGGGACACATAAATATTTCCGTAGGATGATGACAATAAAAAGGCTGATTCAACTGGGAGACGAGAAAGGACTAGAACTAACACCAAACACAGTCACCTATCACATAAAGCACAGTCAACTAACTCAAAGAAAGTTGTAAACAAAACAAGCCTCACCCCCTTTTCTGGGCATGGGCATGGGCATGGGCAGTGGGTTTCTCTCTGACTCTTTTCTGGGGGAATCTGTGGGCAGGGACTGGCTCCTGGGGTAATAACTGCTGGTCTCTGTTTTTTAACAGAGGTTTCCAGGGAGCAACTTAAATTATGCTCTTCCACATGCCAGCATGTGTCTTCATGAAGGGAACTACTTGGAAAACTTCACATGATTAAAAACAAGAAAAGGAGCTGGAGTTCGCCCGCTGCCAGCAGTTGTCACAGAAATACAGGTCGGAACACGCGTGACTGTGAACGGTTGGTTAAGTGAGACGCCAAGGGGTCTCACAGCAAATCGCTACGAGGCCCGGAGTGGCTCCTCACTCTTTTCTCTCGCTCAGATTGTTTTTAATTTGGAGGGCGGTTCTGTATTAACAGCTGGACAGTGTAAAGTCACAACCACGCGGATATGGCAAACTGATTTTGAATATTCCTTTCAGACCTTGAGAGACTGGGAAACCAATTTGTCCCTAGACAAGCTTTCAGGGTGTGTTCCAGGATGAAGCACTACCATGTTTTGAGGGAGTCAGGTGACTGGAAACAGAATGACAGCCTCCTAACAAGGGGAACAATTCGATTACCCTGGTTCTGGAAGATAAAAGATAACACTGGAACACTTCCTTTCAGAGAGATCAGAAATCAACTATGACCTTTGGAGTTTAAAAATATTTTTCTATTGCATGTGTACGTTTTTCTTGTAATGAAACTCTGACCTGGGGAATGGGTTTCAGTTATTGCATTTGACTGGAAGAAAAGAAACAGATGACTGGGCTGTGGCTTTTCTCTCCCCCCACCCCCCCCTTTGTGTTACTATCACTGGATTTGGCTGTTGAAGCTTTTAGGGCTAATGGTAGCTGTGATGTACCAAATAGTGCAAGGGAGGAAAGGAGTGGAAATTAATTTAGCTATCCATTTGTCAGGATTCAGTTTGGAGGAGTTTTTAGGAACCAATCTAAATTGAGGGGATAGCCTGGACTTTTAAAATGGGACACAGAATCATTCAGCTCTATAACCTTTAATCTGTTTGGAGAAAGGAGCAAATGTTAAATTCCACAAGTGTACTTTCTGGGCAAGATAAATATATATAAGACTGCTTGTTAAGACACAGTAAGCCTCTAAGATTACATCCATTAAAGCAACGGATTCCACTGTGTTGTTTTAAGCAGCAATTTCAGTTTAACTACTCTTGGGTGTGCCAACGAGAATCTTGGGCATTCATTGCCACAAATGCATTTTGTGTGTAGAGAGGATTCAACATCAAGAGGCTAAAGTGCACCTATGAGATCATCTTACATTACCCTGAGCCTGGGGGCCAGTAGCAGAGATGGTGGAGCAAAGACAAGCTCCTATTAAAGGTACCTCGGATACTGGACAGAAATACAGCATTGTTTATTTTTAAAATTTCCTCTCACATGGAGTCTTTGCAGTCGGAACTGAGATAAGGGTGAGTTGTAGCTGTTTGAGGGCACGAGATGAGCTTTAGTCTGCAGTGAAGGATTAAGAGCTGTGAACTGAAGCAACTGAGTTGTCAAGATTGAGTGTCGGGGGAGGAGCTGGGGAGTGTTAAGGGTCTTCAGAAAGGCCCAAGCTAGTGAGAAGGCCAGCTGCAAATGGAAAAAAGTGTAGGTCCATATTACAGGGAAACGTGATGTTTATACACTGAGTGAGAGAGGCCTCTATTGCCTTAACATGAAAACCTGGATACCTGTCTGCATGGAACCTCCTAGGATGAGATGTGGTAAGGCTGGCTCATACCTTGATAACCTCTTCAGTGACATAATGGAGTGCTGGAGGGTTTTCGTAGAAGGTTAACATGCGGGGCAATGGGACATTGGGTGATGCACTTACAGTGCCATCCGAAGGGCCTTTCACAAAACATGAAAATCTGGTAACAAGAGCACAAGCTTAATTTAGGTTGACAAACTAGATTAGAGATAAGGAATCACAAAAGGTAAACACCTAGTTAGGGTATGCAAAGTTGAGAGCATGCTATGCTTCTACAGGATATAGAAAATGCAAGGAGTCTACTCACTACGTTTACCGTCTGAGTTTACTTAAGTGGCAGAAAAGACTCACAAATACGTAAAAACAGAAACACAGGAATTTAAGCAGCAGCCTGGATGAAGCCAAGTTCGCAGGGAGACACAAAAACCAATTGATGGATTTTTGAGAAGAGTTTAAATTAAATACAGGCACTGATTGCTTTGTGACTAATGTTTAGAAGAGTCCTTAGTAGTGGCTTATTTAAGGGTTCTTTGTTCCACTGTCACGAAGGTGAAGAAGAATGAGTTTACATAATCTATCGTAATATGTCATCAACTACTGAGACCCCCCCAATTCCCTTGAACTGATCGATTGTCATCTCTAGGTCACCAGCTGCTGTGCAAAGTGAAAATGTCCCCAGACGGTCAGTGCAAAGGCCAGCAGGTGTATCCAGCGTGCTCGAGCGGAGCTGGCATGAAGAGCGCTGAGTGAGACACTCAGCGTTTACAAAGAAGTCCAGGCCAGGACGGGCCACAGAGAGACCTTGCAGGCTTGCAAGACAACAGAATAAAGGGAAAGAATTATTGCTGCAAGAGATTTTTTTCCTCATAGAATAATGACTTTTACATGCTGCTGTGGGTGGTACCTAGACACAGTGATCGGGAAGGCCTTATGTCAAGTTGAACATGGTGTAGCCATTAGCTTTTGATTTGGGCGCCGGGGGTGGGGGTGGGGGGTTGCTGGTGGTGGACGAATTCCAAGGCTCCCAGATGAGCAGCACCAAGCAATAGAAGAGAGCCCGTGGAGAGCCAGAGGGGCCTAGGGGACAAACGTCTCCCTTCGTGATAGTTAGAAATGAGAGACAGTGACACTCATTTGAATAAGAGTTTTAGAGAGCCCAAAGAGAAAGCCACAGAGTTAGAATCACTGTGGCTGCCTTGGCCACCCCTCCAACAGGTAGGGGAGGGCGGGGAGGGGAAGGGGAGTGCTGAGCATGGAAAAGACAGGGATGACTTGCTCTGATCTCCTGTGACTACCGAGGCAGCACAAACAGGTAGGAATGCTGTCAGCAGGTACTCTCTAGAGCAGGAAGGATGTCTTCAAGTTTAGTAGCCTGGCCCGCAAAAGCCTGGGAAAGCTGGGGCTGTGCATCTTCCTTCATCTGGATTAAGATGAGATTAAGACAAGGACAAGATCCGAAGCCACAATACTTACCATTTCATCAACCGTGGCTAAGCAGAAGCTATCGGCAGGTCCTCCAGTAGCCAGGCTGCCGTTTTCCCTAGTGTTTCGCTTTGAATAGTGATGCTTAAAAAACAATTCCCTTATGTGTAGGCTGCAAAATGTCTGATCTGCTGTTAAATACTTGGGTGTTGAAGACTTCCTGAGGTCTAAGAACATAGCATCTGATGTCTTTGGAGTTCCAAAATAAAGGAACAATTAACTGAATTCCAAGGATTTCAAGGTAGCTTCTTGTCTTCTCTTTATACATTCCAGAAAGACAATACACATTCAGGACAATTTTCAATGGCAATGAAAGTACCATACCTGTGATGATGGTAAGGATGGTGGTGGTGGTGGTGGTGGTAGTGGTGGTGGTGGTGGTTGTTGTGGGAGGAGGGATAGTTGTGGGGGGATCTGGATAAAAAAAAAAAGGAAAATCAAACCCACAATGCTGAACACAACAATGACCAGTAATGACAAAACAAAGGCATGAGGACATTGAGATGTTTGCTTGATGACTGACTTCCCCTTTAAAACCAAAAGCTCTTTCCCTTCAGAGATCTCTGCCTTGTAATATATATTCCAAAGCCTTAGTTGGAAGAGCTAAGAAAAGAAGAAAAGAGATTGTTTTTAATTAATGAAGTGAATCAGGGATGAGGAGATGTGAAATAGGAAAGTGAGGAAAAATCAACATATACGACACCCCCACACCCACCAGCTTTTAAAGGCGAGGTTAAAGCAAGTTGCACTGAGAGAGTACAATGGCTGTCATTTCGTTTATGCTTTTACAGATGGGAGGAGAGAGGAGGAGAGGGTGCTGCTCTATTTAAAGGGCTCCTATCAGCCAGGATGAGCGTGCCCCTGCACACTTGCACTCTGTGACTGCTAACTTCATTATTCTCCATCAATACATCCCAGCAGGACGTAAAACTACTTCTGTACTCGTGATAAATACAAAGAAGAGAGAATGTCACCACTAAATATCAAGTTCCAGGCATGTGAGATTTTACTGAGATTTTATTTTTTAAAAGTCAATAAATTTTACAACTTATAAATATTAATAAGTTGCCTTTGCTCATGTTAAAAGCTTGACCCAAGAGGACTACAACGATGAAACTGAAAGAACGTTTTCCATCTTGTAAACAAGAGAACTAAACAGAAGTGAGGCTCAACCCTCAAAGCCCAGGAACCTGATAGGGAAACCTCGGCTGGGTATCTGGTAAACTGTAATTCTTCTATCATCTTAAAATTATTTGGGGATAAAGCAAGGGCAAATATGAAAGAGGGAAAAAAAAAAAAAAAAACTCCAAGCCCAAATGATCAAACTGAATGTGTTAAATTGTCAACGAGACTTTGAACTAAGCAATCATTCTGCTATAATAGAGCCTACGACGAACTGAAGGCTTTTGATTTTAAGTTTTATCTAAAGCACATCAACTTTTTCTGCCTGACACATCTGGTGTCCTTTTATCTTCAAGTGAGCTCTCAGATTGTCTAATTAATACGTCAAAACTTTAATTACACACTGCACCTTCACTGGGCTTGGTACCAACTTTGCAAAAGTTTATCAAAACATGATTTTGGTGCTTGCTTGTGAGGTCTGCGTCAAATGATTCCTACCATGGTTCAATCATCCAAGGTTTTAATTTTTCTCACCTACCGCTTCTTTTACACAACTCTATGTATATGAACTTGATAGTGAACAATGAATGGCAAACTGCTCAGTTTTGCAGGAGACTTGGCTCCTCTAAAGTGGGGACTCAGCAGTTCAAGCCATGTTTAAAGCAGCCTCACATGATTCGAAAAAGGATTTCATTCATATAACCCAAACAAAACAAAATTCATTCTCCTCCAAGAAGCAATGATTAAATCAGTGATATGAAATCATCTCTAAAAAAGAACAGGCTGAGCAATTCTGTGACTCAGGTGTTGTGTTCAGCCTTGCACCTTGGTACATTCCACGGAGGCCACAGGTGGCTCTGCATTTTGTGATCTGACAGCTCACGGAGATGAACCCGCACTTGCTGCAGGTGCCAGTGGAGGGAGGGTGGAACCAAGTGCACCCCTGAGCCTAGCAATGAAGACCCCTGCTCTCTCCACCACACAGCTAAACCCTATCCAGAGAGGTGCTGGCTGTCCAGCATGCTGACAGCTAATATCGGTTCTTCTGGTTTGCTTCAATTATGACATGACCATTGAGAAAAACATCTGTGTGTGGAGAGCTCCCCTGATAAGCCCTAATGCCATTTCCAGGCCTATTTCTAAAAGTACTGGCCCAAAGTGTGTGATGTCCACACTACAACCAAAATGGACCTGAAGGCAATTTGAAAATACGATTATGAATCAAGAGGTAGACAAGACTACTGAGGGTACAGGCTTCAGAGAAAGGTCCCTCTCATTTTGTGAACATCACACACTTTCAATTACCTTCATCACTTCTGTGGCAACTACTGTCCTTCATATCTGACTCAAGTAACCTGAATGACTGGATTTCATTAATAAGTACAACCTCGATGCTGAGCTTATTTCTAGCAATAAGAACAACATGAAGGAGCCGGTGTTGTGATACAGGAGGTTAAGCTGCCACCTGCAATGTCAGCATCTCATATGAGTGCCTGTTTGAACCCCAGCTGCTCTGCTTCCAATCCAGCTCCTTGCTAATGCACCTAAGAAAGCAGGAGAAGATGGCCCAAGTACTTGGGCTCCTGTCACCCATGTGGGAGATCTGGATACAGCTCCAGGCTACTGGCTTTGGCCTGGCAAGCCCCTGTCATTGTGGCCATTTAAGGAGTGAACGAGCAGATGGAAGATCTCTCTCCTCTGTCTTTCTCTCTTTATCTTTCTGTAGCTCCACCTTTCAAATAAATATATACATCAGAAAGCCACTATTTAAGAAAATATAGGACTTTATTAGTGACATGTAACGGCTAAATAAACCAAAATGAATTGGGTCTTGAGCACTAACCAGCTAGCTTCTGGAAATATAGTGGAGAATTAAATGTCTTAGAGGAATGTCAACTTTTAGTTTATAAAGTACTTCAAAAACTGTTGTAATCAGCTTTAGAAAGCAAAATCTATCCACCAGTGTGGGCACTGTGATGCAGTGTGCAAAGCCATCACGTGGGACACCCTCATCCCTGGTCAGTGTGCCAGTTCGAGTCCCTGCTACTCTGCTTCGGTGCCTGGGAAGCAGCAGATGATGACTCAAATACCTGAACCCCTGTCAGCCACGCAGGAGACCTGGGTGGCGCTCCTGGCTCCTGCTGTGGCCTGGTCCAGCCTCAGCTGTTGCTGTTGCGGCTATTTGGAGGGTGAACCACTGAATAGAAGATATTCTCTCCCTGTCTCTCCCTCCCTCCCTCCCTCCCTCCCTCCCTTCCTTCCTTCCTTCCTTCCTTTCTAAGATTTTATTTTATTTATTTGAAAGACAGAGTTACAGAGAGAGGCAGAGACAGAAAGATCTTCCATCTGCTGGTTCACACCCCAGATGGCTACAATGGCTGGAGCCGCGTGAACCGAAGCCAGGAGCCAGGAGCCAGGAGCTTCCTCCAGGTCTCCAACATGGGTGCAGGGGCCCAAGGACTTGGACCATCTTCCATGGCTTTCCCAGGCCACAGCAGAGAGCTGGATAGGAAGAGGAGCAGCTGGAACAAGAACTGGCGCCCTTATGGGATGCTAGTGCCTAAGGCCAGGGCTTTAACCCGCTGTACCACAGCGCTGGCCCCTCTCCCTTTCTAGTAAATATTTAAAATGGAAGTTCACCCAGCATCTCCCGAAATTGCTGGAGTACTCTAATAGACTAGCAGTACCTCAGGTTAGTGTCCCAGTCTACCATGCTAAGTTCGGTTAAAGCACAGATGGAGGGAGGCAGGTTATATACTGCAGATCTGTGAAAGTCCTACTCACAGGGAGTTGTCCCTCTTGGTTAGGGAGATATGTGGATATTGACACCTTGTTCTAAACAGGGGTCAGTCCTCTTGTTTCTTTGTTTTCAAATAATATACTCTGGCCCAGAGAGTTAATTCTAAGGATGATCTTAAATTGGAGTGAAATGTTCTAGGGGAAAGCAGTGAGAATAAGAGGATTTCCAAAGAAAAATCAAACTTTGCTGTGGATTTTGGAGTCAAGTATCATAGTTATAAAAAACATACATAATAACCTGTGAACCTGGGAAAACTATAGGACCTGTTTAAACTTCATTTTGTTATCTGTAAAATGGGATGATGATAATGCTGACCTCATGGTGCTACTGTGGAGATTAGATGAGATCATGCACATAAACCTGTCACCATACTGTGTGGAACAAAATGAGCACTCAACAAATGCTAGCTATAAACTACTCTCCAAGTGATTCAAAACTGCCTGTCCATCAAATCACACACTGTTTCTCCGCTCCAGATGTAAGAACAGTAGGTACAATAAATCAAAACCATTTTTCCAGATAACTTAGTCTTCTGAATCAAGCAAACATATAATAGACTGGTGGAAATTTGTCAATGCTTTAATATGTGGTTTGTAAACAAGCTAGGCTGAATGTCTGTATGACGGGCAACAAACAGCAAGGGAGGTGACTTCCTCGAGGTCCCGCCCCTGGTGTGAGCAGCACGTGGAGGAGCAGAGGCTGGGACTTCCCACCACTTCCGCGGTACAGCCAGAGGGAGGGAGGCGGCCCTGCGTCTGATCCTGCCAACTGAAATGGGCCAGGCTGCCCGAAATGTGTTCCCTTCACAGGGATTTCCTTTGCTACTGGGGAGAATTCACGTTCCTTTGTGCGGACCACAGACGCCATGGGTAGTGTGCAAAGAAAACACACTTCAGAGGTCCACAAATGAGGTGATTAGGCATGACCTTTTAATTTTGCATTATGCTAAGAGGAAAAAACTCAGGTACAGGTTAAGGACTGTATTATCCACACAGACACGGTATAAAAAGCATGCTTTTATCTGGTTAGTAAGGCTGCCACTCCTGTTTTTGTCCCAAGGAAAGTGTGCAGGTTATGAGTTACACTATGTAAGTATCCTGTATGTATAATGCATGCGTGTCCATGCATATCGTTATACACACTTTGACATGGATTATGTACCCTGCTGTCATGGAGAAGGCAATGTCCTCTCAGCCTCGCATACCCACATATTTATGGCACATTGACATTTTGATGCTTCTGGTTGCTCATTCTGTGTTGTGTCAGTTCATGGCTCTTTTTCTTGGCATACAACTAACCAAGATACTTAAATTCTACAGAAGAGACTGAGTTTGATCTCATAAGACTAGGGCGAAAGGCCCTTCTCAATGAAACAGAGAATATTCACCATCCACAAAATCAACAATCAGATATAAACGGGAAATAAATTAAAAAAATGCCTGGCACACAGCAGATGCTCAATAAATATTTGTTGATTAGAGAATGAAATTCATGATAATATGCTTTAATGACCCTGTAAAAAAGATATTAAGAAAACAGACAAATTAAAAAAGGAAAACAGCATTTGTGTCCAAAGCAATTGTGATACAGAGAGGTTTACGTAGTTACCAAGAACCGTGTCATTGGTCTGACTATTTACTGGCTTGCAGCATCCTCTGAAATTTAACACAATAGTTCTGCTCATCAAAGCAGGAGAAAGGCTAGCCCAGGTATCACAGGACAATAGCACTGGGAGTAAACACCCTGTGCTGAAAAGCACTAACTGGTAAGACTGGATTTCTTAGTCATTACTTCTAACGTGATCTCCACGGCTTAACGCCTGTGGACACAGCTCTCCTATTCAGCATGACCAGAGACTGACCTGGTGGGAAATCTCCACGGAAAGAAGGGAGAGATAAGTCACTACTGTCCCAGGTGGAGAACCTGGGGTCCACCTCAGGCCAGGCTTCTTTAAGCTCTAGAAGGAGATCAACTGGGCTTTGGTTTTTGGCTTAGGGAGCGAATCCCAAGTAGCAGCTACATACGAGCGAGTCTAGCAGAAGAGTGGTTTATCTTCTCACGTACCGTATACATACAGCATATAATCCGAATGAGCCTTCCCCACTATGTTTGAGGCTTCACAGCGGTAGGTACCATTGTCTGTTTTGTTTAGGTTATTGATGAACAGGTTGGGCCCAGACAGTACAGCATGTTGAGGCATTTCATCATCCACTCTCACCCAAGTTACCATGACAGGCCTGCAGAGGAAAGGGGAGAAAGACAAGCCGCCTTACTATTCCCTGCTAAGAAGTTTGCGTCAAACCTCTCACCCACGCGTTGGACAAGTCACATGCAGGATGACACAATTAAAGAGGACCCGCTGGAAATATTTTAACTTCACAGATTTACAGCTGTGAAGTCTCCAAAAGTCTGTTTAGAGTACAATAAGAAGAATAAAAAAACCATGACTTGGTGTTGAAAAACTTTCAGCAGACCACAAGCAGTGGTCTCATTATTTCCAATTCATCTTCAACAAATCAGCAGATAATCCAATGTACCCTATTTTTATTCCCTGCTATGTGGTTTCACACCAATTCAGAAAGGACAGAGCTCACCCATTGTTAACCAACTCATTAATTAGGAAGAAAGTCAAGCTCTTGACTAGTGATACATGCATTGATCTGATGGTTACTAATACTAAGACCCTTGCTCAGAAGCCTCTCTTGATATTTAAATAGATTTTCAATTTAATCCCAAAAGAATTTGAAGAGCACTTTCCTTTGGCCTCTGCTATGTGAAAAACCACTGCTGGTTCTGGAAAGGTGGAACCACTTCCTCTCCCCTTAACCTTCATATAGCCTACCTCCACCCGCTCGAGATGCCACTGTTCTCTCCGGTGTCCTGGCCCACCTCATCTCTCTGTTTCTTGGCACACTGCCCCTGCTTGCTTTCTCCCAGGCCCACCTATGGACAGACTCCTCCCCTGCATGTGCACCTGCAGTCAGTCCTCCGAGCTCGAGGGTATGGCTCTCAGGTAATCACCTGGAGTGCATCTCCACATGGATTCCTTAGGTCCTCCCGCACTTGTTCATCAGAGACGAGCTTGTGTTGGTGATTTATAGAACCGCATTTGTATCCATTAGGAAAAAGCAAATTGCGGAAGATGCTCCAGAACTCAAAATGCACACACATCAAGTAACTTTGAAACCCACTCTTCAAGGCGTCTGCCTCCACCTCCTCTGCACGGAGGCTGCATTGAGCACTCCGTCTGGAAACTTCCCTAAGGAAGGGCGCCACAGATTCGCGCCCAGAGGTCACTTCCGTCCAGTTCCTCCTGCTCCTCCGGGAGCAGCGACATGGCGGGAGACCCACGCTTCCTGAGGAGCGACACACCTTAGCCCTGTCAAGTAGCATTCCAATTTTCAAATGGGATGTGAAGTTACAATTTTTCTTTAATTACACATGCCTTTGTCATCACACCCCAGTAAATTATTTAAAAATTAGGACGCATATGTCCTCCTTGTAGGCAATGGCAAATGGGTTTGCCTGGCAATCAGGCCTAATGTCCTGCTGCTTGACAGCTGAAACAATCAGTGGGGGTAAGAGCTGAGACTATTCACAACATTTAATGGCAAGTTAAATTACCATTTTTATTGTATGCAATTTCTTGAGAAAATAAATAGGTAATATGCTAGAAGGGATAGCAGCCCAGTAATGCGTGCCTGCTCACACAACCATATACCCGCTCCTATTTGAGAGCAACAAACAAATACCCTCTCTGGCATAAATGTCCTGCAGGAAACATGTAATTTACTGTCCCCGTGGCACATTCAATTGAACACAGTACCTTCTTCAGGGGAAAAAATACAGAAACAAAATATAGGTTAGCAAGCCTTATACTGTAAGTGTGGTTAATGTGGCTGAATACAGGTATTGCAAGGTGGCAAGAGGCCTCGGAAGTTTTTTTTTCTCCCTCCACCGGATTGTTTTAGAGGTAAGGTTAGCTGCTAATTAGGGCATAATTCAAACAGTTTACACAGAGAAAGAGCTGAATCTTTTGCAGTGCTCAAAAAGAGTACAAAGCTTGAAGTGTTCAAAACCAAGTAACTGGGGAACACCAGAGGCAAAGCAAAACAGAACGAAGATCACCTAAAGGTCATTTTTAACGCTCCAGATGGTTAGCACAGAGAGAAGTAAATTCTAGACCACGGCCAGGTAGCACAGAAACAGGGAGGGTTGAAGGGAGATGAGAGGACTGACAGGAGCCAGGCTTCGCTTCGGCTCCCGGGACTCCTGTAATAGATGGTTCCTCAGTTACCCCGGGGAGAATCCTTTCCAGAGATTTCTGGGGGACTTTGGTTCAGATGCTCTGAGTTCTTGAAATGAAAACTGTGACAATGCCGCTGAGCAAAGCTCTGCACGGAGAAACCAAATCATATCACAGGGACAGCAGAGGGAGCTCAATGCTGGTTTTTGTTGGGCACCACTACAAGTTTGAGTGCCCTTAATCCCAGCATTGACCCGTTCTTCTATTTCAGGAGCCCACGTTGCTTCTTCCTGAAAGCAGTTTAAAACAGTCTGAACAAGAAAGATGAAGGGAAGCTCCCCCTTCCCAAAGAAAACTGAGTAAGATTTAAAGGAGCACTGCCTCACGGTGTTTTTGCTGTATTAGTGGTGAAGCGTGCGGGTCCTCTAATTCACTTTAGGTCGCTTAGCAGGGAACGGCAAGGTAGTTCCTTCAGACTTTTCAATCAAATCAAAGGTTTAGTTAGTTCTCCTTCTTCTCTGAGGCAGTGGCATGCACATCTTCCTTGGGAAAAGTTCTTGAACCTTTCCTTACTATAACAAAAATATCTCTAAGGCTCAAGTCTGACACTTTCCTCTGAGGGAAGGAGATGCAAAATTCAAGCAGGGGGAATTCATGTGCCTACAGCTGGCCCTGAACAGAGCGGCTTCATTTAAGTCTCAAAAGCATCTTTGTAGCAGGTTAGATATCTGCATAGAAGGTAGCAGCTATATCATTAAACTGTGAGACTACTAAAAAACTTAAGATTTGTGTGTGTGTGTGTGTGTGTGTGTGGTAAAATAGTCCTGAAAATCATGTTGATGATGCCAAAATGGAATCAGCTGAGATTTCAACCTTAGCTGGCATTTAATTTTTCTCCCCATCCTGACCATGAGGACCCACAGACGTTTATTTACATCCCCTCTTATTTGCTATTCTGCATTTCCTGAAAAATCGTCCATTCTTTCGAGCAGGAGACAGGTGACAGGCCAATGAGTTGTGAACGCTCATCTCTGTGTTGTGACATTTACTGTTCACGACCCTCTGCCAACCTCGGCCTTCAGAACTTACTGGGGCTTCCCGATGGCTTCGCATGTTAACTCAAGCGCGTCCCCTTCTCGGGTTAGGCCTTGTAGAGGGTAAGTCATCTGAATATGCACTTGAGGCTTATCTGTGTGACAACAACACAAAGTATAATGTTTAGCAAATGGTATCATCAGGCAAAATCAGACTCGCACGCTGCCACAAACCCCACGCTACCAGCGCTGACTCTCTCCCCATCCGCGTGCCTTCAGTAACATCCTTCTAATTAGTTAGTAATCCTGGCATTTGCTCAAATTAAATTGACTAATAACTCTAAGGAGTGAACCGCAAATAGATAAGAGATTCATAAGCCAACTGTGCCACATCAAACATTTCCTGTGAAATACATTTTGTTACATTGAAGTTTATCTCCGAACTCACTCAAGCTAAAGGAAACTCATTTGCCTTCATGCTGAGGTGAAGCCGCAGATATTTGTGGTGCTCAGAATTGATACATTTTATCATATATCATATATTACTATGTGACAATACATTATGACACTGCATATTAATAAGTGTGCCTCTTCCATGCTCTTGTTTGCAAATGGAAAAAGCAGAACTTCTGAATTCCACTCGAATGGCTTTCAGGGGAATAGAACCAGTAGGTTTAGGTGGCCCGTAATGAAACTCTTGGACATTTCAGGGTAAACACCCTAAGAAGATAGGAAACTGGCACTCCCAGGGGTGGTCGAAGCCCAGCTATAGGGATGAGAACTCTGGGAGCCACAGAGTGAAGTAGCTTGTCCGAGGCCACAGAGATCACCCGTGGAAGGTGTATGAGGATGTATTGTTGATTCAGAATGGCATTTCCCAATGGCAACCATAACTCAAGCCAATGATAGCTTCCTAATGCAGTGGAGTCTTAGGTGACCACTGCAACTGTTCTTCTTTCCACACTCTCCTTACAACTGTCTCGCGAGTGTGTGGGTGTCTGGGGCACGGTGGGGGGAGATGAATGACAGGAGGAGCAGGGAAGCGAGCCGAGGAAGTGGGAATGAACACAGACACAGGTGCACACACAGTCACACAGAAGACCTGAATGCGATTAGGACATTTTATTTTCTATGCTAAACTAACCAGCCATTAATCCCTAAATCAGCTTTCTCACTTAATTCTTTGCCTCTGTAAGTGTATATTTTTGGAAATGTACCCAAGAGCAATAAATGTTAGAGGTCAAGACATAATTTGGCTGAAAGGTCAAAACAATTCACCACAGTTTTACTTTCTCAGACAAGCATACCAGCTAAACAACAGCCCCATGGCCTTTCACAAGCAGTGGCTGGCTCATTAACATTCATCCTACGGAATAACGGAGAAGACAGAGATGCGGCAGGGCTCAATCACTCTCACCCTGCACACAGTTCCATAATGCTGCACAAGGATGTCCTCTCTCACCGCGGCTGCCCGCGTGCATTTTGTAGTCCTCTTCCTATCACAGACCTTTGTCAAGGTCTCGGAAAATCATGCACTATTCAAAACCTTTTTAAGAGAGCCCCTTGGTACACTCCCCAGTGTGCACTGCCCAGTAAGTCCTCGACAGAGAACATCAAGTTAATAGACCCACAAACAGCAGCTGATCCTTGCAAGTAAAACGGTTCTATTCTTGGACTTGATGGCAAAGGAAATGTTTGAGGGCAAAGTGGAAGAGAGGTTCCCAGATCCTGATAACTAACTTGGGAAAGAAGTCATTAAAGGGAGAAATCTACATAAAGGATAAATAGGATGACCTTGAACTATCATCAGCTGCTGGGATGAGGCAAGAGCTTCTGGATACCACCTTCTAGACCTGCTGGCCACTTCTTAGGCCAAATATAACCACTGGGTGATGTATGTGGGTCTATTGCTTTTGATGGTGTAAAACACACACACACACACACACACACACACACATAGTTACCAACATTTATTTGAAAAGACATGAAAAGAGAAATAGGGGAAGGTTATGACACTGAAGACATGGGTAGTAACAAACCTGTTCCCTAATAGTTCAGACCCAGAAGCAGTAGCACTTAGGGAATTCCTGGTTAGGGGACCTCTGTCATTCTTACCCATGAAGCATTCTGCGTGAGGCTAAATTTAAGGCCCTAAGTTTGGGCTGAAATACAACATTTTCTTAAAGTAATCTCTGATCCATGGAAGTGCTACTTTTATTTTCATGCACTGCTAACTTTGGCCCATTAATTAAGGAGAAGCAGAATGCTCACTGCCCCAGGTGGAAAGTTTCTACTTTTCTTCCTCATGTAATTCATAAACAAACAGAGTGTATATTTTTCAGTACAGTGCCTTAAAGGTTTTACACGCTCAACTTTCATAAATAATAAAGCGTTGAAAAATCTATTCCACCCTGCTTCTTCAGTGCCATCGTCGAGTCTGTTCTACTTAAATGCTGTTTTATGTTCCTAATGAGCTGTTTAGCAGTTGTCAATTACTCACCCAAAGTAGGAAGAACAAACTAAGGACTGCTACACCTGGAAAAATCACATACCATGCCACAGAAAAGATTCCCACGATTCTGATAACTGTTTTTCCCAATTTAGGTTTCTGCAGGAACATCTACCAATGACTTTTGGGTACAATGGCCACGGTTACCTGGCTGAAAAGGCAAAGATTAATCTTGCTTGTGTTGTACAGAAAAATGTCCTCTTCCATTGACACACACAGTGTGTACAGGCATGGTAACTGATCACAGGCAGCTCCACTATCATTAAGCCCAGCCCAGGAACCAAATAGAAGGTCTTTGTGCCAAGATCCAGTCTCGGGTGATGGACACGTGAAAACAAATTCTGTTTTCCTTCCTTTGTCCTGAAAGAGGACCTGAAGTGTTCTCAACAGGTGGAAGAGAAACCTTGGGATGTCCCTGCACCTCTAGAGTGGAGGGGCATTCAATTCTCAGGGAGTTCTTGACTACAAGATGAGGATGTCAAAATACTGAACCATCCAGATGGCTGATTGAGGAGCCCAGAGCTCGTCATTTATATTTTAATTATGTTCATAAATCAAATGGTATAACCCACCAAATCTTTTCGAAAACAGAACCAGACTCCAAGATTTATTTTTAAGTAATGAGGTGAAGGCCCAGTACATTTTCTGGGGGATCATTTTACGCCTCAGTTGGGGTTGTGAGGCACAAGGCTTATAAAAGCCAGATGACACTTCCTACCCAAGTGCAATAGCTGCCCAGAAATGCATCGCTCAGAGAGGCTTCGTGTCATTAAGAAATGGAACTGCTACATAAAAAGGAGAAAAATAGTTAGGTCCTTGCACTTAAGGAACATTTCAGTTAGAGAGATGGCATCACCAACAGCCAATCAATTAGGTGGAAGGATCTGAGGTTTTCATAATACAATGTAATTTTTTTTAAAACCCCATAAAAGACATTTAACAAGACTGCTATAGCAGACAAAATTTGTTCATTAGTCAAAGTTGCACAGAGGGTTAAATACCAAGAGGTTTTAGGTCACACTACAGTAGCAACCAATTAAAAAAATAATATTAGAAAGACATTCTGATTTGATGAGACTTTCTTTTAATGTATTTTGCTCTCTCTATAAAGGCGAAAAATATAAAGGGAAACTCTTAAGGAGGTTAGAACGGCTTGCTGGCAGATTACAATTGATTTCATGCCAGTCTGACCTTGCACCACATTCTATGGTCTTTTCAGAAGATGGAACTCAAGATTCCGTAACCTGTATTTCAATTCCCTATGTAAATGAAAAGGCACAGACAGTCTCCTCTCCAGAGCCTGACACCAACATAGCAGGTCTTTGAGTTTCTTTTTCTATTTATAAAAAAGGTACTTTGCAGTTTCCTTTAGACTGGGATGCCCCTCTTCCCATGGAGCAGAGAGGCAGGGAGCTGAGGCGAGGGGAAGTCACCCTGATGCCCTGGCAGGAGGTCTGTTATCCCAGGGGCTCCCTGTCCTTCCCTGTCTTCCTGAGAAATATTTGCATCAGAGAATGCAGGCACCAAATGTTCTCGATGTGCTGACTGCACCCAGGTCTCAGGGCTTGAGTGCGAATCTCTTCTGCAACTGCATTTGGCTCATAGATTCTTTGTGTTCCTTACTTACAACCCATCCAATATTCTCTTGTTGTTGTTAAAAAAAGATTTTATTTATTTGAAAGGTAGAGTTACAGAGTGGGTGGGGGACAGAGAGAGAGAGAGAGAGAGAGAGCTTCAATCCACTGGTACACTTCCCCAAATGGCAACAACAACTGGGGTTGGGCCAGGTTGAAGCCCATGAGCCTGAAACTCCATCCAGACCTCCCATGTGGGTGCAGGGGCCCAAGTACTTGGGGCATCTTCTGCTGCTATCCCCGGGTGCATTGGAAGGGAGCTGGATCAGAAGTAGAGCAGCTGGAACTTGATCAGTGCTCATATAAGAGGCTGGCATGGAAGGCTGTGGCTTAACTCTGTGCACAATGCCGGCTCCACCCATCCAGTAATCTGACACACCAGTGTGTGTGGGATTCGATCCCTGTGGATCAAGTGCTAATTGTCTCAAGTCCTGCTAGGGAGAACTCAAGGGCTGTGCGGGCACAGATGCTATCAGAAGGGCTGGGGAGAGGGCTTGGGTCAGCCCCTGCGCATTCACATGGGCAAGCACTGACTGAGGGGTCTTTGTCAATCACGGGGGATTATTGCAGTTCGAAGTAGAACGACAATACAAAGATTAACCTGAGATTTGGTGAGTATTAAGAGCTGTTTGAGCTCAAAGTAAGAAGTAACCCCCCCCCCATATGGTTTCTAAATCATTGGGAAGAGGACAGCTTTGTAACTAAAAGAGGCCAGTGTCTAGCAGTACAAGGTGACCGGGACTGGTTAGAGAACAGTCACTTGGAGTTCTCAGAGGAGTTAACAGAGACCATCTTGCAAAGGGTTGGCTTTCTATGCTCACCGTAATGTTCATGAATAATTTTCTCTGCTGTTTGTTTGTTTGCAAGGTGAAGGACCTCCTGCTGTTCCATCTGCAGCATGACTATATCTGCAGTATGGATCGGAGCACTTCATCTGCACGCCTGAGGACGGCTGAACTATTGTATGGTGAGGCAAATCTGGTGGGACTGACGTGGGCTAAGCAGCATGTGC